GGGGCTTATATGTTCTTTACCTGTTTTGTAAGTTCATTCAAGGTACTTTAGGACTGGGTCCCATGGCCTCTGGAATGTTGCTATACATAGAGTGCTTCGTTACTTTCTGGCCAAACATAATTCAGTACAAAATATATTTTATACTTATAAAGCAACCTAGGGAAGGTTAAAAAATCTTCTACTCTTTAAATGTTCTCTTTTGTACTTTTACCAGGGAGTAGCACATTGTAACTATTTTTTATTAATTTATTTTAAAACATATTCATCATATGAGTCTCATTCTATCATCATTGGTAGCTGTATGGTATTGTTTCTAATGGTTTGTTCTTTCCAAAGTAGAACAACAAATAACCTTGAGCCAAGTGATTAGTTTTTTATTAATTTTCTTACAAGGGAGCCAACTTCTGATTTATAGATTTCATTCAAGCACTGTGTCGAAGCACCAAAGACACCACAGTGAACAAATGGGACTGCCAATTTTAAGGATGTATGTGTGTATGTGTGCGTGTGTATGCATGCATGCATGCATGTAAGTATGTGTTATGTAAGTCTATGTGTTCCACATATGTGCTGGTGCCTACAGAGGCCAGAAAAAGACTTTGGGTTCCCTCAAGTTGGAGTTTCAGGCAGTTGTGAGCCAGCAGATCTGAATGCTGGGAACCAAACTCAGGTCTTTTAGAAGAGCAGGCAGTGTTCTTCTCTGCTGAGCCATCTCTCCAGCCCTTGATTGCCAATGTCATAGCTTAACTCGAGGTGACAGCTGAAGTAACCAAGAAATTATGAAACACATTTCATAATGTATACATATAGATAAGACTATAAAATAATACAGTGCCCTGGAGAATAATCTGATAGTTTCTTATAAAACTGAGCAGGCACTAACCATAGGACCAATCACATGGACCCTTACAATCTTAATGTCTCTGGCTCCCCAGTGCTGGGATTACAGGTATATGGCACAACATCTGGCTTTTATGTTTTCTCAAAAATCAAGATGGTATCTTCGTGATCCAATAGGCTTGTGGTTCTAAACTTTCCTAACACTGGGACCCTTTAACACAGTTCCTCATGGTAACCCCCAACCATAAAGCTATGTCATTGCTATTTTGTAACTGTAATTTTGCAACTGCTATGAATCATAATGTAAGTATCTGTGTTCCAATGGTCTTAGGTGACCCCTGTGAACAGGTCATTTGACCCTTAAGGGATAACAACCCACAGGTTGAGAAACACTGCAAGTGAACAATGATCCCAGCTTGTGAAAACAAGCTGCTGCCTTCAACCTTGTTAATTATCTCTTTAGATATCAATAAGAGATTGATTAACCTCTTTAGATATAGCTGTCATCAGGGTCACAGACAGCCTGTGTCAACCAGCCCAAGTCCAAGGATGGGAGAACATGTATTTCTCTCTGAGCTAGACATAGTTCTAAATACTATCACTCCAAGAGTGAACTTTCTTTGTGGTAGTAACCTCAACTTTTCATCCAGTGCACAAATTTCAACTCAAACACCTTTGCACAGAAATATACACCACTGTCAATAGTTCAGTGAGCCTGATTCCTTGTGTGTGTGTGTGTGTGTGTGTGTGTGTGTGTGTGTGTGTGTGT